CGCTAAAGCGTACCGCCATTGAATATTTCTTTGTTTTTGTCGCATTCAATAGTAGCTTTTAATTCGTGAAATCGACAAATGTTTTGCTTAAGAGTCTTCAATTTTTCTGGCGTGGTTCAGCACTAGTTCATCTCTCCTGATTCAGTTCTTTTCAGGTGGGATACTCGGAGCCTCGACCTGTTGTATGTTCATGTTCAATGCGATTCTGTTTTGGATGTGCCCATGAATGGCACGAGCCTGTAAATTGTCGCTTATTAAAATTGTGGCTGAAAAAATGCAGTGATGATTCCGAAACGAGTAACTGGATTAACGCCAACACAAAGGAATGTCCAAAATGTCAGGTGAGTGCTTTATTCTTACGAATTAGAACTTAACGTTCCTATCACGTTCGAATTTCGACTTGTTTCAGGTTACCATCGAAAAAGATGGAGGATGTAATCACATGGTATGCAAAAACACTGCTTGTCGTATGGAGTTTTTGTTGGATTTGCTTGGGTCCATGGGAACCTCATGGAAGCAGTTGGTACAATTGCAATAGGTACTGAGTTTTTTTTTTTTTTTGAACTTCTATTTAGTATAAGGAAAAAATTTCTCGGCATTGATCAGTCGAGATGCTCCATTCATTCAACTCATAAAGCATCGTTTGTCGTGATTGAATGCGTAGCGAGGCTCTAAAATGACTCGATATGGCTTACTAATGTTTCAAGTCATGCTGCTTTTCTCTCACAAACAAGTATGACACCACACCATTTTGCTAATCCCAGAGAGATGGAAAGTTTGCTTGGCCTTGGACGCGCAATCGAACCATTCGCCCCTGTGTTTGCCATAGGATACCTCTAACCGCTACACCCCACGTGCTCATTCGGTTCTGTAATGTCATTTGAATTTTCAGATATGATGATTCTCGTGCGAAACAAGCTCGTGACGCGCAAGAGCTTTCTCGAGCTAATCTCCAACGGTATCTCCATTACTACAATCGTTTCATGAATCATCAACAGAGTTTAAAATTGGAGAACAAGGTATAAACTTTTTCACCTCAAATATCCTCCTCCATATTGTTCAGCCATTTTACATTATTTAATATTAGCTGTATGCCACTGTGAAAGGAAAGATGGAACAAATGCAGCTGCAATCAATGTCTTGGATCGAGGTTTGTTTCGCAATTGTTCTCTTTCTTACAAGTTATTGAATTCATTGGTTTGATGTTCAGGTACAGTTCCTGAGGAAGGCAGTAGACGTTCTGTCAGAGTGTCGCAGGACACTCATGTACACGTATGCATTTGCATATTACCTCAAACGCGATAACCACGCTGAAATCTTTGAAGGAAATCAGAGGGTAATTTTACCACGTTCTTCTTCCCACCGGCGCATTTAAAAGTTCTTTTTTAGGATCTTGAAATGGCGACCGAACAACTTTCGCAGTTCCTTGAACGTGATCTTGAGAATGAGAACCTGATCACCCTAAAGCAGAAGGTATACTCCTTCATTATGCGCCATTTTTTTTTTATTTCCTATAAGAAAAGTTCATCTGTCATCGAAATGTTCTCAAGCTTAACCCATTCATCTGAATCTGTAGCGCTTCTCGATTTCAACGTGGCGAAGTAGTGTTCTAACGTGCTTCAGTGCGCATGAAAATAAACCTGTGCTGAAGTTCGCGGATCCAAGAAACTTAACCTCAAGACGAGAATTTGCTATTCAGCGTACAAGAGCCGGCTACAGTATTGATCTGGAAGTTCGTACGCGAGTCTGTTCCGGCACAAACTACGAAAAGTCTTTGCCTGCGGATATCTGTAAAAGCGGAATTAGTGTTGGAGTCCTGAGCTCGTTAATTAGTTCCTAGCAGAGCTTTTTTGTTACTTAGAATTTTAGTAGTCATTCGATAGCTTAAATCTAGGCAGTTTCGAACCGTACATGGGGTTGAAAATGTCTTCTCAGCGCGCTGTAGCCAGCGATGACAAGCGAACGTTCACCTTCTGTGCGCATTTTGGCTCTACTAGGGTTTGTGAAGGCTTTTAAGCGCAGCTTTAGTACTTATTCGATTGATTTAAAAACGGGATTTGAAACTGGGTTTGGTCTTTGAAGAGATCATTGCAGAGCGAAAGTGGAATTTTCGTTCTACACTCAGATAAATGCACAAAAAACATATGAGCTTGTAGAGAAAATTGTGATGAATCAGGATACTGGAAAAATTTCGAACTCGTTCCGGAACCGAGGAATAATTTTGAAGTAAATGACTCAAATCGCATCCTTTCGGCGAGACAGTGTAATCGCTGCGCGCAACGCGGTTCTCGTTATTTATTTGGAAACTTTTTCTTCACTAATGTTGAGCGGAATTTCGTGCCTTATACGGAGATCGAATCCGCAGTTCACCCTTTGCGAGGGCGCGTTCTAACCAGTTACACCATCGAGGCTCCTGTTCTGTCATCAGTCTTTCTGCGATGCATAGCATCGATCTGTTAGCTGTTAACTGTGAACGCTGTGGTTTTGATTCCCGTTCGAGGTTCAAAATTTTGCACATCACTGAACATTATGAAATTAATGATTATAACATCATACCATTGCTAAAAGAGCGGTTAAGTAAAGATTTCCTGTTTTCTATTTTCAAGATATTGTTATGATTTATTGTATCAGAGTTGTCGAAGCGTCACTGTTCAATCATTTCCTAAATACGAGCTTTCTTCGTTGCATATTGCCGCAGTAAAGATTTGAAGGACCCTCTGTGAAGTCAAGCGATGAGCTAGCTACTTCAAGTGTGGAACGTAATCCTCTTTCGACTCTTACGGCTGTATATGGAAACCTTTTCAAAAATCAATTTCAGCTTTGGAATTGGCGAAAATTAGGCTAGTTAATGACGGTTAGAAGTATAGCGAAAACTATCCACAAACCTAAACCGAAGGAGCCAACTCAACTGAGTGTGAAACATAATTTTACTTCTGCTGCTATAGCGCTTCAACAAACCTTTTTTTCTAAACCAACTGCAGTATTAAAATTGTTGAGATTTAAGCTTCCGAATAATTACTACTATTCTAGGGGATATGCTTTGTCTATTGAAAAAGTCCGTTTGAAAAATCGTTTATCAAGTCTGGTACACGCGGTCTTGAATGGGTTAAAATGCACCACCAATGTATTTATATATTCTAAGCACTGCGAAAGTTTTCAGATGAAAGAATGTTCCAGGTGCAAGATAACTATCGTTACGTGGACCAACGTCGGCTTGTTTTATTAAAACACTGTCAAGAAGGCACAGAGAAAGACATCTGGCAGTACACTCAATGAATTACTAGTGCTTACTGCCACCATTAGCACTATTCAAGAAGATTATGCAATGAATTTCTCATTTTTCCAAGTGATAACGAGGTGCACGCTTACTGCTCGAGTAACTACGGTTCGTGTATTTCTCCAGTGTTGCCCCTTTCTTTCGGTTTTGTAGAGGTTTTCCTAACACTCGAACAACATCGGGTCAGATCACAATCCTCTCGTCGCAAGCATTGCTGGGTTATAGGTCGGTTTTTTTAGTTTAGTTTGCAGACTATTTTGACCCCACCTTTACTCGTAATTGCTTTTATCTCTGTGCTATCTCGTTTGTGAAGTCTTATTTCTGCAAGTTGAGTTTTCGACGTTTTCATGCTTCTTTTCATTGCACATGTATAGCACTTATGCATATTGTTTCATTAGAGAGTTGCTGGTCAATTTATCACTCGAGTTCGCCTCGCTTTGTTCACATCTAATTCCCCGTTGTTCTCCTATACCCTAGCTAATTTCTCATTTTTTGTAAATAATCTTCTCAAAGTAACCTCTTCACTGATCCCTAAGGGTTAAGTACTTTAATATTTCATTTGAAAAGTTGCCTTATATCTTTTAATGACGATAATGATGTATAGATAGGAATTTTGAAAATTGTGATTTGAACGCATAAAGCCATTTCAGCAACAGTGAAGTTAGTTTTCTTCTACACTGTCGTTATTCACGTTTGGAGTATATTTTTTTTTGTGAAATTGGATGATGGCCTGTCATTTTGAGGTGCCCACAACTTTTAAGATCAAAAAAGAAGTACTGGTCTTCGGTTCGAACTAACATAGCTGGCCCCTATTGGACTTTACTGATTGAAAATAAACGATTAGAATCAATAGATCTTCTGCCAAGCTAAAAATCCAAGTGCCACTATCCGACGAGGACATACTTCAATTTTTTGGAGTCCACGAATCCCATGTTTGACAGGTCCCTGGTATGAATGAAATGCGGGTTTAACTCCTGTCTGAGGCCGAGTTTTTGCTTACCCACTCAGTTCCCTTGGGAGTATTTGTAACACTATCGCAACAGTTATATCTTCTTCACAAACAATAGAAGAAACTGACTTTCTACCAACAAGTTGTACTGTTGTCTCTTATCTACAGTCACTATCAGGGAGTACGGCGAATACCTTTTAGATTTCCAGGGTTTCAAGTTCGTTTCCGGAGTTGTCAGTCCTAAATAAGTCTGAACCCAAGCAAATGCTTTTTGGAAATTGTGTATATTTCTTTGCAGCCGTAATCTTTACGAATTCTTCATTTGTATGGTTTTTTTAGGTTATGATTGTTATGAATAAAAGTTCAAATGCGTTAAGTGATTTGCAAAACACTGACCCCAGGTGGGAGTTGAATCCGCGTCTTGTCCATTTTGGAGACTGCTACCACTACGCCATAGGCACAGGTAAGACGTGGCTTTAACTCCCGCCGGTAGTTGAATGTTTTGCGCTTCAGATCAATATGTTGAAGTCTTTGCCAAGAATCTATGATGTTTTTTAAGTTGTAAGATATTTTGGTGGTCGGAAAGTTATTGCCAGATGTCATCCAATCCATCTCCAGAACTTATGAGTTGGCCCTTTAGGGACGGCAATTAATCGATGGGACAGCGCAACTCTCAAGAGGCGCTCAATTTTCGTTATTCAGTTGGGGTTTCTCCATCATTTCGAAAATAAAACCTTGAATATCCCAACAGAATTGAGTGGTAAACAAAAGTCCGACGTCAAACAGGATTTGAACCCGTGTTTCATCCGTACCGGTGAGGCGTGCTATCACTACACCACTGAGGCCACTGCTTACTGACCACTCCACTCATTCTTCAGTATCTTTCTTTCATAAATACCAACCACCAACCCAAATGGTCTCGGTGTTGTAGAAGTAGGCGCGTCTGCGGTATGGAAGAAACGCGGGTTCAACTCCCATCCGAGGTCGGGTTTTTGTTTGCCTCTCAGTTCTTAAAATTATTTGAAACACCATAGCACTGCGAAAAGCAGTAAAAATGTAATAAGTCTTGGAATTATATGAGTAAAACCTTAGTTTTTTGTGCCTATATAACTTCTGTGTATGATAAATACTTTGAATGAGAAACATAATCTTCTTTTTGTTCTTGTAGCGGTTTATGGTAACGTTTTAAAAAACCAATTACAGCACCGAAATCCTCAAGATTTGGGCTCTCGTATGATTAGTAAGAATCTGGCGAAGAGCCATACCGAAGACCTGGCCGGCAAGTAAAGCAAACTGAGTGTGAAACGTAATTTTATTTTCGCTACTAGAACGTAACAAAAAGGCTTTTTCAAAAGTCAAACATATTGTGGAAATTGCAGAGATTTAGGCTTTCGAACGAGGACCAAGTTTCTAAGAGAAAAGTTTTGTACAGCGAGAAAGACCTTCAAAGAAACGTCTACCTCAGGCAGTTAGGAGTTAAAGCCACAATCTGTGAAAACTATTTATTTTTCTCCTTATTAGCAGTCTAATGATGTTATAATTTATATATATATTATATATATATTATATATATATAATATATTTATATATATAATATACTATATATATATATACTAAGTATTGCGTGGTGAAATAGATCACATCATAATAAATCGAAGGTTTTGCCTGACCGACGTCGCTGTTGTTCCCAAGTTCTACACGGGATCAGACCATCGCCTCCTTCGCGCAACGTTCCGATTTTCGAGGAGAGGAGAGAAGGCGCTAAATTTAAACGAAGTCCCAGAACTACCATAAACTGGGATGTATTCAAATCATTAGTCGGCTCTTGGGAAGATACCGTTGTCGACAACATCGACGAAGAATACGATCGACTCGTTGAATATCTTCACGTTAGCGCTAAAAAAGCCGAGAGTCCTAAGGTCACGAAGAGACGCTTGTCTCCGCAGACACTCGAGCTGATACGTCAACGTGGAATCGCACGAGCTGCAGGCAACCGAAACCTTACGTCCGAACTTGCGAAACGATGCAGAGAAGCGGTAAAAGAAGACCTTAAAGAGAGAAGAGCAGCAGTTATGGCAGAAGCTGCAGAAGCTGGGAAGAGCATTCGCAAAGCCCAGCGAGGCTTCGCCAACTATAAGACCAAGATGATTGCACTCCGCTACCCTGACGGGACACTTACAGCTTCCAGAAGGGCTATGGAGAAAATCATCCACCAATACTACTCGGATCTCTTCGCTAGCCATGTTCTCTTACCGTCATATAAATTGAAAGAGGACGAATATGTCGTTCCACCGGTCCTTCCTTCCGAAATCCGACATGCTATATTGTCGGTGAAAAACAGAACAACACCCGGTCCAGACAGGATTAGACCAGAACACCTGAAGAAGCCTGCCGCCAGTTCTCATCAACACCCTGGCTCGGCTCTTCACTCGCCACCTGTCAGAATGCAAGGCCCCTATTCAATGGAAAACCAGCAAGACCGTATTGTTGTTCAAAAAGGGAGACCTTCACGACATAGGCAATTATCGCCCAATCTGCTTGCTGTCCGTTGTCTATAAACTCTTTACTCGAGTCATCCTGAACAGGATTGACAGAACACTGGACGAAGGACAGCCATGCCAACAAGCAGGGTTCAGAAAAGGATTTAGTACCATGGACCACATCCACACGATCACAAGACTCATTGAAGTTTTGCGAGAGTACAAACAACCACTCTGTCTCACTTTTATCGATCTGAAAAAAGCCTTTGATTCAGTGGAAACAGAAGCGGTTATAGAGGCTCTGGATAACCAGGGCGTCCCTACTCGGTACATAATGATCCTTCGTGAGCTTTAGAAAGATTTCACGACCAGAATATCTCCATTCTACAACAATATCACCATTGACGTAAGAAGAGGGGTTCGACAAGGCGATACAATTTCGCCAAAACTATTCACTGCCACCCTACAAAACGTCATGCGAACATTAGAATGGGACGAAATGGGAGTGAAAATTGACGGTCGACAATTAAACCATCTTTGCTTTGCTGACGATATCGTTCTCATAATACCAAACATCAGCCAAGCGGAACGAATGTTGACCGATTTCGATAACGCCTGTGGAAAGATTGGTCTTCAACTGAATCTAACGAAAACAATGTTCATGAGGAACGGACTAGTTTCTGAATGCCCCATTCACGCTCAACGGAACGACAATCTCCGAATGCTCCAGTTACATCTATCTAGGTCGTGAAATCAACATGATGAACGACCTAGCCCCAGAGTTGAGCAGGAGGAAACGAGCGGCTTGGGGAACGTTTAAGAGCATCGAAGATGTAGTGAAGAGGACAAAGAACATCCGACTCCGTGCCCACCTTTTCAACTCGACAATTATCCCTGCCCTAACGTATGCAGCAGAAACCTGGTCGCTACGTAAGCAGGATGAAAGATCACTTGCCGTTATCGAACGCGCAGTCGAAAGGTCGATGCTAGGAGTATCTCGTATTTCGCAAATGAGACAAAGGATCCGAACTTCCGACCTACGTCAACGATCGAAAATCAGAGACGCCGTTCTACACGCCAGGATATCGAAAATAAGGTGGGCCGGACACGTGATGCGCTTCAACGACAACCGATGGACGAGAGCCGTTACCGACTGGATTCCTCGGGACGTCAAGCGCTCTAAAGGAAGACCACTGACCCGTTGGTCCGATTTCTTCACGAAAGCGATGGAAGAAAGATATGATGCTCAGCGAATCCCTAGAGCGAGGAGGACCCACTGGGCTACTCTTGCACGCGATAGGGTAAAATGGAAGAGTTGCTGGTACCCGCTCGAGTCACTCGACGATCAGCGGGACGACAGGTGATACAGGTGATTGCGTGGTGTGCAAAATATCCAACCCCAGGCGGGAGTTGAACCCGCGTTTCACCGACATTGAGGACGCGTGCTACCGCTACACCACCAGTACCAGTGAAACGCGAATTCACCTCCCGCATGGGGTCGAATATTTCGCATACATAAGATATTTTGGTGGTCAGTGAGTTGTCAGTTCATGTAGAACTTTCGGACCTTGTGTGTTAATCGTCGAGATTTTTTTGCGTTATCTTATCGAGCAAAAGGTCAGAAAGTGTCTGAGATGTTTTCTGTGACGATTTTCGATAAATTTGTCTTTTTTCCTTTGTTTCTACATACCGACATTAGAAAAGCTGGAATTATCATCGTTCATAAGTGCGAACGTTAACCTTTTGACTTCCAGGGACCCAAACTCACTACGACACACAACGTTACATCTAGAATGTAAGCTTCCCCATGGTTCATAGTAGTGTTGTCGGGTTCAGTTATCTGTAGCGGGCTACTAAGCACTACGTGAAAGCTTACATTCTAGATGTTGTGTGCCGTATGAGTGTGGGTGCTCGGAAGTCAGGTGCTTGACGTGTGAAGGCTAACATTCTCTGGATATTGAAGAATTTCTAGTGATAAGAAAACTATGAACCTCGAGCGGGAGTTGAACCCGCATCTTACTCTTTCCGGGAATGCATGCTAACCACTGCATTATCGGACCGCCTGTTTTGCCGACAGTCTTCCTGGATAATGCTTTTTTTCTTGTTTCTCGACAATACCTATGCCTTTTTTCAGTTCCTTATAAGGTCGTCATCTTCGCATCTATTGCTGAATCATTTCTGATATCATTACAAAATGTCGCTCGCCGAGGAACTTATGGCCGATTTTGAGGAGGACGATACTGAAGATATCGAGCAAGCTATAGAGGTGAGCGGAGAGACTCTTCAACAGAGTTAATTGAGTACTTCATCTATTATATGTCATAGGTCGGACTCATTTTGTTTTGGATTTTTTATGTTATGTCAGGCAGTGAACGGTGCAGATGATATCGAGGAAGCAACTGAATTCGCACCTGTGAAGAGTGACTACAATTCGGTATATGATGTTGCAAAGATGGCGTTAACCGACGAGTCAGTTTCATATAATTTATTTTAGTCAGTTTTTTATGTTCATATCGAAAGAAGAGTGGTAGCAAAGTGAGGGCCTTGCTGGTGTAGTGGTAGAATGCGCTCCTGGTAAGGGTATAACACGAGTTCATCTTTCGCCTTGGGTTGAATTATTTTTTGAATTTTTGCCTACCATTCAGTATTTTTAACGTGTATTTACATCATACAGCTGCTGGGAAGCAATATAAATAAAAGATTTATATGGATTAGTCATTTTTTTGACATTTTACACTTCACGACCCGTCATCGCAGTTTCTTGTTCGGATTCCAGCATCTTTTGCATTCGTCCTTCACAAACCTGGAAACACCTCACGTATTGCTTCGACCGTTGCTTGAGGATTTAGGTTTTTCTGTGAACTTCGTAGAATGCTGGTTAAGACGATTCTTGCATTCTGGACGATAGTTTATAAAGGTGTTCCTAGACGATCAGTAGATTAATGGCAAGAGTGTTGAAGAGAGGATCGAACCAGCGTCTCGCTAGCTTTTTGCTACATTGCATCATTAACCACTTCGCTACTTCGCCATTCTGTCAGTCATAACTTTTACACATTATGTATGATTTAGGATTATATGAATTAAAATCCACCATTCATGGCGCTCGGATTGACTACAACACTGTTCACGTGGCCACCGGCGATATCATGTGCTAGAGCTTTCCCATGAGCTTTCTTTTGAGGGGCACAAACATTATTACACGTTAGACTTTTCGTTCGATACTGGTGACTCCGTCAGGCGTCGTTCTCTTGTGCTTCCGCATCTACACGTGGGGGCAATCCGCTTCAGCATCAAGGGAAATACCCCATAGCATATGAAGTGGCAAGCATTTAAGAGGCAGCAGCACATCACCTTGAGTTTTTCTAAGCAATCAGCCTATTCCTCATTGCAGGTATCGAGAGCTGATATCAACACTGAATTCGGAATTGGAACGTACAGACGAGGTTCATGTTACTGCTCCTCTCGAATCCGATCCACAATATCGTTTGATAGTGCGACTTTCTCATGTAAGATACCTCCAGCGTTTGATTTTTTACCTCTTTTTTTTGCTATTACGACTTTCGTGTAGTGTCTAGTTGCCAGAAGGCCAAGTAGATCAAGAGTCAATCTCAACGTCATAGTGAAAACTACCTCGAAAATCAAATGCATTGCTGAGAAGTGGATGATTAAGCCACTATGTTGTTTCTTTATTGCTTGCATAAGATACACTATGAATCGGTAACTAATGGCAAGTTTCGACATTTTTTTTCCGGTAGCTCATGTCTCTTCTATTTCTGAAGCTTTATGACTCCCTCTAGGAATTTAGGTGTTTGAAAAATGTTGACTTTGAAGCAATCTGCTTTTGTTTATGACTGGAGTCTTTCCGACATAATGTTCTGGACAATTAGTCGAATGAACTCGGTATATTTTGTTCTCTGCTTAGCCAGTGTTGGTTCAACTAAGCTCTCACGGGTGATATTTGGTGCGATTAGCTAATCTGCTAGATTTTCATTCATTTCAGTCCCTCCTCCGGGATTCTGTTCTTGGCTGATGAGCCCTACCGTTGTAATTTTTTTTTTCTGAAAAATCTTCAGATAAACAGAAAACAGTTCAGAGAAAGCATCAAGTTTTTATTCGTTTGTTGGAAAGCTGTGGGTCCATAAAAGTAGCTCAAGATTAAGTCGTTTTCCTCCTGTCGACAATGTCTTGGTCACAAAGATCAGGATGAAAATTTTAGAAAAAACGTGTTTGTTGACATAATGCCAATCATATATACCTAAGAGAGTTGAGTGGTGAGCAAAAACACGACCTCAGGCGGGAATCGAACCCACGTTTCATCCATACCGGGGACGTGAGCTATACCACTCTCTTAGGTATATATGCAACATCGCAACATTGTGAAAAAGCAGTAAAAATACTATAACTCAATTGGGTGCATAAAGCGAAATCGCATACCCGACCAAATCTGTTAAAGGTTGGTGGCTGATAGCTAAGATAGAGATGACGAAGAATAAGCAGTGGTGCAAATGTGCTTCGGTGGTGTAATGGTAGTAGCGCGCGTCCCCGGTATGGATTAAACGCGGGTTCGATTGGCGCCTAAGGCGGTGTTTTGCTCACCTCTCTTAGCTATATATGTTACGGTCGTCATACTGCGAAAAAAAAAACAGTAAAAATACTAAAATTTCGAAATATTGCCATCATTTCACAAAAATGGGATAGGTTTCTAATGAACCCTTAAAGGATCTATGCACGTTATCCTACCGTCTAGGCCGTGAACAATGAGATATTTACTTTGGACTTCTTCAGTTTTTCTCTTGGAAATGTCATCGATAGTTACCTCTTCATGCTTCATATCCGACTTACTCTACTTCATTGTGTTTTTTTGATTTCGAAAGAAAATGCGCCGATCTTCGGTCAATCAGCGAAATTCGGTAAACAAAATTAGTAGTACTCAGCGTTTTCATTTCAGCTGGCTGCCGATTTGGATGGTGAAATAAACGTTATTCATAAGTTCGTTCGTGACAAATATGAGAAACGTTTTCCTGAGTTGGAAACGTTGGTGCCAAATCCTCTGGAGTACTTGGCTGCGGTGAAACTTCTCGGAAATGAGATCAATACCAAAGGGCAAAATAAGGTAACGTTTTTGATTTTAACTCATTTATCTCTCCCATGTGAACTGTATCTGACGGTCCCATGCGGAAAAAGTTTTCTTTCTCAACTGCTTACCCAATTTCCTTTGGGTCTGCATCATGCGAAGTTCAGCATATTTCTTTCGGCCTAGTCTACTATAATTCTGCTTGATTTGTCCTCATTTTGTTATGTCACTATAAATGTTCAATCTATAACATTTGACGTTAGTGTGGGTTCATTATTATACGATTATTGAGGAATTGCTCGGTCAAATTCTCGCACCAGCCACGTGTATTGTTGTGTCTGTAACTGCTTCAACCACACAAGGCAAGTCGTTGGAGGCGGACGAATTGAATGCCGTGAGGGAGGCTTGTGATCTCGCTGAGAAGTTGCATACGGTATAGTACATCCATATTGTTCATTTTTAAATCGAGCAATCAGATGCAAATCATAGGATCGGATCTCCATGTACCGTCTTATTGAACTCCGAATGGCTTTAATTGCTCCGAATCTCGTCCATTTACTCGGAGCAGCCACCACTGCCCTATTGGTAAGCTTCTAAAGAAGTCAGTTTAGGATTTGCTTGGGTTTATTGTTCCTGCATTATTTTAAGGTATCTCAAGCAGGAGGCTTAGCACCATTATCGCGGATGCCAGCTTGTAATATTCCAAGTGTTAGGTCGACAAAAGAAGTCCTTGGCTGGGTTTTCCTCGACAGCTGCCCTTCCTCATGCTGGATTCGTGTACTTCCACCCTCTCGTCCAATCCATGCCACCTGATCTGAAGTCGTAGGTGTTCATGTTCTTTTTTTTTTTTTGCTCTGAATTGAATCGAATGTTAGTGGCAAATTTCAAGGAGTCCTCTATGATTGATGTATTGTCTATTTAATGATTATTTCTCTTATGTCTTCTTCCATATTGTGTCTTCTCCTTTCTATTTTGATCTGTGTTGTTGCTCTACCTCGTATTTTGAAACAGGTGACCTTTTTTAGAAAAGCGGCTAAAATTCTCGCTTCCAAATGTACCCTCGCAGCTCGTGTGGATTCACTTCATGAATCTCCAAATGGGGCCATTGGAATGAACCTCCTTGAACAGGTTTGTTCATTTTGATTACAAACTTGTTGTTATTCTTCGATTCATTGATTATAGGTACGCAATAAGATGGAAAAACTAATGGAACCTCCACCGGTAAAGGCTAACAAAGCTCTACCAAAGCCATTAGACAAGGCTAGTAAAAAAAGAGGAGGTTCGTTAACACATTGATATGCGATGGGTCTTCAATATACGTTTGTATGAATGCCATTACTTAGGACGACGTGTTCGTAAAATGAAGGAAAGGATGGGAATGACAGATTTGCGGAAGAGCGCCAACCGTATGAACTTTGGAGAGTTACAGGAGGATGTACTGCAGGATCATATGGGTTTCGACTTGGGACAGGTAGCTTTTTTTTTTTCTTCCGTGCTCAGGATTACCTTTGGCACATAAATGATTGTGTGGGACTTCACTGCATATCTCTTCTATTTAGTTGGGCGTTGTAACACATTGAAAGGCAGATTACGTTGTTATAACTTGTAATATTGTATGGCTAAGGAGATCCTTTTTTACAAATTGAAATTAGAAGTAGTTTGACATGTGTAATCTGATCTCTATTCTTTCGTAGCGGAGACCAATTATGCCTATCAACTTTCGACAAGCAAGTTTGGGCTTATCGTGAACTTTCTACAGATCTTTAGCTGCAGTCAAAACTTTTGCATTTTGCCACACTGAAGCTGATATCATGGAGTCTGTAGACTTGTTTTCGGTTTTTTTTTTTTACGTCAACAACATTCCGATCAGATAAGTGGTTAGGATAACGTTGTTTTGTCTACTAGCTCCGAAAACTCAAAAACTTTCGTGAACTTCAGTTTTTGAGAAACTTGAAGCTAAAGTAAAATTTTGAAAAGTTTCATATA